CTGTTCCTGCACCATGAGTCTTACAAATTGTGGTTTTTGTGGCACGAATTTGTTAATAAAATCTTAAGTAATTGTTCCAAAATTACTTAGAATTAGAACAAATCAGGGAAAAAAAATAAGGCACCCCAAAATGAGTGTGGTGGACGTAGTTGACCTTGCTGTGCAAAAACTTCAACCCAAGTACTCACTTATTTTGCCTTTGGTGCCAAATTTGTTCCTGCACCATGAGTCTTACAAATTGTGGTTTTTGTGGCACGAATTTGTTAATAAAATCTTAAGTAATTGTTCCCTTAGTTGGCTGGGTGGGAGAAACCGAGACTCAGAACGCGCCCTTAGTTGGCTGGGTCGGAGGGAAGACGATGCCATCTTCGTTTCGTCGGCCAACGTCGGAGCTGCGGCGGCCCTGAATCGGAACTGGCTGGAGGGGTGGAAGAAAGACGACGGCGTTCAACGTTGTCCGACGGCACTCCGTCGGAGCTCTCTCTCTCGAACTCTCTCTCTAGGTTCGATTCTCTCTCTCAAGCTTCTCTTCTCTCTCTACGAATGTCCCAAATTGAAAATCTGAAAAGTGAAATTTGATCCGCCAAACTTGAAACCCCTTCTGCACTCCCTTTTCACGTCATTTAAAATTTTCAATTCAATTTTCCATGTGGACCACTAGCATTTTGACACGTGTCCCGTGTCAAAATGTTGTCAAAACTTGTTGTTCAAATATCATTTCCCTATATTTTATTACCATTAGCAAAAGGGCACATGCATTTCTATGTTTGTAATTTTGAAAATTAAAATAAAATATTACTCATTAAAAAAATTTATAGGCTTAAATGCTTACTTTTTTGTCTTCATATTAAGAGATGAATTTCTGTTTAGTACCGGTTTTATTCATACAATTTTCATAACATAAAAACTCTAATGTCTTCATTTTTAAAACCGGGTAGTAAACAGAAATTCTACCTTCTTAACATAAGCACGAAGTAAACATTTAAGCCAAATTTATATAACGGAAAACACTTCCTTATACTGTTTTGGTTGTTAGCTATTATTAGGAGTGAAAATTACACACACATTTAAATGTCCATAGTATTTTTTATTACAATTATCTCATTTTCTTATTGCCATAATTGATTTTTTTTACACTCTTTACAGTTTTAAATCTCTTAAATAATATTTCAAACTTCAAGAAAGTTACACAAAAATACATAAAAGGGTTAAATATGTTTTTAGTCCCTGAACTATCAAGCGATTTTGGTTTTAGTCCCTACTCAGAACTTTGATGGTTTTTAGTCCTTATTGTTTTAAAACTCTGAGTAATAGTCCTTAAAATTGGACGGTGTTAAGTTTCAGTGGATGTGGCAAACGGCGTTGCCACGTGATCACTGATCTGCTCTATTCTCTGTCTGCCAAGTTGGATGTTTAAGTGTTTGGATTGAGATTAAGTTAGTTAACCACTTCGTGATCTTTTATAAATCAGATCTGAAGAAGTTGGGTTCTTCTTCGTGGCTGCAGCTGGTTGCTGTTACAGTAAACTCGACCAGACATAAATCAGTTTGAACATTTTTCAAATGCGCAAACTCAAGCACAAATACAGAGGCACTCAGTCTCACCAAAATCTAAAAGAGAGGAATGAGAAAGACAAAAATTAGATCTTACATCAAACTTACTGTTACAGTAAACTCGACCAGGCATAAATCAGTTTTCACAGTAAATTTTTCAAACGCAAACTCAAGCACAAATACAGAGGCACTCAGTCTCACCAAAATCTAAAAGACGGGAATGAGTAACACATCAGATACAACCTACCAATCCATTATTTCGTTACTGTTGTTGGTTTAGAGGGTTTGGGGGAGGAGGCATGCCAGGTCGAGGAGGACCAAACACCGGAACACCGCTGCCAGGTGGTGGGGGCATGCCGGGGCGAGGTGGAGGAGGCGCAGGCATACTAGGGCGCGGAGGAGCCGGAGGTCCTCTCACCATCTATCCCGGAGGAGGAGGTCCCATGGGGCGCTGTCCAAACTGCGGGGGAGGAACGGAGAACTGAGGTGGACCGCCACCAGGTCTTGGAGGAACAAATTGTCCGGGTGGCATCGGAGGAGGCGGACCCCTGGCCATGGGGGGAGGAGCGAATTGCCCTGGCATCTGCCCTGGTGGACGCATAACCGGCGGACCGCCAGGATACGGCGGTGCATTGAGCTGCGGTGGACGCGAGATCTGCGGCTGCATCATGCCCGGGGCAGGGCCGCCAACGCCGCGAACTGGGCCGGCGAGACCAGGTTGGGCCTGGACAACGAGAGCGGGAGGAATGCCTCTTCCGGCGGCACGACCGATGCCGGGGCCGGCGAGTGCGGCGGCACCGACGGCCTTTGAGCGGGACTCTTCCGGCGGAGGTGGTCCCTCGACGGTCATGGAGATGACCTCCTCGCCGCGGAGGAGTACAAGACCGAGCGTGCGGCGGTCCTCACGGTCGCCGCCTTCGGCAGGCTTCTTGCCCTTGGCCGGAGGAAGCTTTCGGAACTCCTCGCAGTCGCCGAGAACAAGGTTCATGTGGCGGTCGAATGCCATGAATTTTCCGACGAGCTGGCGTCCGTCCTGAATGGTGACGCGCATTCGGTAGTTGATGTACTGGAGCATCTTGGAACTCTTAGACATCGACATTTTGGAAGAACAAAAATTTCCCTCGCAGCTTCTTCAGTGAGAGTGTTCTAGGGTTTAAGAACAGTTGCAACTTCAGAGAGAGGGAAACATTGGATAAAATGCATCCCAGCTCCTTGTTATAACACTACTAAAATGCATCCCAGCCCAAGCCCAGAGCCCAAAAGCGTTTAAAAAAAAAAAAAACAATCGTGTCTATTCATTTGCGCTGTCATAGTTTGGGAAATTGAAAACCAATTTAAGGAGTTACTTTGAAACCTTATTATTAACTAAATCTGAAACTATACAAATACAGTATTGTCTTTGAAACTGTTCAAACTCCTTTCTTATATTCTATTTTCACATATATTTTTATAATTTTATATATCTTTTCTCTTTTTGTTTTGTGGAAGTTTCTCACTTATGTTATTTCTTATATAATTAAATGGGAGTAGTGTGTGTTTGCATTGGAGTCGTGTTGAATTGAATATAACCTTACTTCTCGTTAGAAAGTGAATTTAAGAACATTTCAATAATAAACCAAACATATCTTTAATTATATTTTTTTTCTTTTAAAATTCTATGGATAAACTGATTCAATTTTACTTATTTTATTCAAAATCATTGGTTTATGTCTTTTTTAAGTGTTTTATTTTCTTGAAATCTCTTAGCCCCGTGTTTTATCTTATCTGGTTTGGAAAGTATGTCTTAATCTTTTTATTAGTATACCAAAGCTAATTTTAGATAGGTAGGTCTCGCAACCTAAGATTATTTATTTTATTCATACTACTACTAGACTTAAACATACTTTTTTAAATTATAGTTTTTTTTTCTCTTTTTTTCAGTTTATCTAAAATTACAATTGTTGTTTTAATATAAGTATCACACACTAGCCTATTATAAATATTGTGATATCATAAAAAAAGTAATATATAAGAACCTAAAACATAGTTAAATAGTAGAAATAATTTTCTATAAATGAGATTATGTTGTTGTATTATTAAAAGGTCTAATTATAGAAAAATCACTTAGTTCATATGATTTGTTGAATGATAAATCAAGACAAAATGCATGTTACAATGTCATCAATATTACTGTTTTATAAAGAAAAAAATAACAATAATCAATCTTGTCTCATATGTAGTTAACAAAGTTTTAAGTTTCATATTCAAGATATAGTCACTCTTAAACTTGGACATTGACTTATGTCCTACGTGGTTAAATTAAATTATTTGTGGTGTGATAAAGAGAATTTTAAGCTCTTCAATCGTCGTATTTTCATGCTATTATTATTTGTTTATATCATCGTTTATAACTAATGACATTTGTTATTTCAGTCTCTCTATGACATTTTTAAGATTTATAAGGTTCAATTCTATCCTGTTCAAAATGAAAGTTAGTCTATTTATATAGATCGAGTTTCATAACTAAATTTATTAGTGTAAAACAACATATACGATAAATATACGGATCATAACAAGTATTTTATAATTATTTCAAAAGAACTTATGTAACACATGACAATTCCTATAATTCATAATCAATATAAACAATGATGTTCATAATTTATAGTTGATTTTTTCAACGAAAGGTGTGTGAGATTGATGTAATTTTAGTATAATAGGATCTTTTAAAAATGTATTTTATATTTTTATTTATTGTATGTAATTTTATTAAATAAAGAATAAAATTGTATAATTAATTGTTTATGTTGTTGTTACTCAAAGTAAAGTATATAAAGTAATTTAATAAAAAGAAATTAANCACTCAAAATCATTTAAAAACAAGTCAGAAACTCAAATCAAATTAATTTGATCGTGGCTCAAATCAAGCCGAGTTAGCTTGGGCTGGAGTCAGATTAGGTCCAAAGTTAGATTGGACCTTAGTCAAAAAATGTTAAATTGGACCTTAGTAAAAAATGTAAGTTAGAATCAATTTGGATTGAAATGAGACTAATTAATATGGATTGGGTTGAATCTATGTTAAGTTGATTTGGGTGTTGTGATTAAATTAAGTTAAGCCTAGTTTAATCTGGACATCCTAAGCTAAATTATTAAGTTGAATCATGTTGAGTGCAAGTGAGATTAGATTTAAGTAAAAAATACATCAAGTTAGATAAGCCTAAACCATTAAAAGTCGAAAGTCGAATCAAAGCTAACTTATGTTAAGTCAAATTCGGTCTAGATAGATTGTGCTAAACCTTAATCTTGCAATTAATTTTCAAATAATAAAAATTAGTCAAAAATCAATTTTTACAATTAATATAAAATATTTAGAGATTAATTTATAGTTTAAAATATTTTTAAAGTTTATACAATTTTAAAAAATATTCATAAATTAATTAAGATTTTGTTTTAATAGCTAATCCATTTTGGTTCTAACTATAAACGAATTTATGTAGGAGATTTGATACTATAACTTTTTTAATTCACTCATCTAACAAATAAAAAAAAGTTTTATTTTAAAGGTTAGTAGAAATTAATCTGTAAACCATGAATCAAATTAAATTATATTATGGTGAATTTTAAGTGCTGTATACATTTCACAATTCGTTTTTCTTCTCTTTGACTATAAATTATTATATTAAACCCTTGGTACTATATTTTGAGTCAAGTTGTTTTATAGGATCCAATTTTGTATTTCTCTTTTTTGGAGATGATATGTTCTGTATTAATTTAACCTCAATTTAAGTTTAAACACAATCAAACCATAAATAAGTATTCCTCTACAAAAATAACAACAACAGTGCATAAACATTAACATTTCAAAAGATATAAAATTGATTTGAAAAATTAAAGAAAAATGTTAGAAAAATTATAAATTCAACTAAATCTAACAACAACTTAGGGATGACAAAAAGATCTGCGCCCGCGAATATCCGCGGATAAAATCCGCGACGGATAGTTGGTACCCGCGGATATTTACTATCCGTAGGTAGCGGGTTTTTTAATACCCGCTTATAAACGGGTTGGGTGCGGGTATTATACTATCCGTACCCGCAGATATCCGTTACCCGCAAAAAATAAAAATAAAAATTTAATTTATATTTTATTAAGTTAAATTTAATTAAAATTAACATTAATTTATATTTTATAAGGTTAAAAAATATAATTAAAATTAATTTTAAATTTATATTTATATATAAACATATATTCTTTCTCTCTGTTGTGTCCTTTGCCATTTCCGTTTTCCTTCTCCTCTTTTTCTCCCCCCTGCCTCCTTTTTCCCTATCTGTGCGGGTCTTCGACACCCGTACCCTGAATTTTTCTTTGGGTCGGGTCGGGTTGCTAGTAGACACTACCGTGTCCGACCCAACTTCCTGTTGTTCATCTCCATCCCCCAATAATTACCTATTAAAAGTACCCCTCATAAATTGTATAAATTCTCCACATCAGCTTTCTTTCACGATGCTGACACCGAGATCAGTGACCCGTCCTTGGCACAGCGTAAGGAGATGAACTTTTTAAACTCGTTTATATAATTCTTTTAAGTGTTGGGAGTCATGTGCGGTATTTAACAAGGGACAGGTGATTAGAGTTTATTTTTTTACGTATTCATTCATATGTGATTAAGTTTTAGGGTATAGATTATATATATATAATATATAGATATATATAGATATATATATATATATTATATATATATATATTAGATATAATATATAATATATTGTATAATTTATGTAGGGTTAAATATGTTTTTAGTCCCTGAACTATCAAGCCGTTTTTGGTTTTAGTCCCTACTCAGAACTTTGATGGTTTTTAGTCCTTATTGTTTTTGAAAAAACTCTGAGTAATAGTCCTCTTAAAATTGGAACGGTGTTAAGTTTTCGGTGATGTGGCAAACGGCGTTGCCACGTGAATCACTGTTATGCTTTTATTTCTCTTCTGCCACGTTGGATGTTAAGTGTTTGAACTGAGATGAAGTTATTTACCCACTTAGTGATCTTTTATAATCAGATTTGACGAAGTGGGTTCTTCACATTCGTGACTTGGAGGACCTCCGCAAACCGCGCGGTCTTGTACTCCTTCCGCTATATATATACACTAAAACTAATACACATATGAATACGTAAAAAAATAAAAATATAATTAAACTTTCACTTAGTTAAATAAAATAACATGATAAAAAAAATTGTAAAAGAATTATATAAACTAGTTTAAAAAAGTTCATCTCATTAAGAGTGAAAGAAAGGGGTCATGATCTCGTGTGTAGCACTCGTGAAAGAAAGCTTGATGTGGAGATTTATACAATTTATGTTTTTAAATAGGTAATTATTGGTTGGAGGGATGACAACGGATTGGGTCGGACACGGATAGTGTCTACTAGCAACCCGACCCGACAAAAAGAAATTCACTTGTTACTGGTTCGAATACCCGCAAATATTTAAAAAATTATATTTTTATAAAATATTATAATAAAACTTAAATAAAATTACAAAACATATATAAATAATATATGTTATATTAAATATAAATTAAAATTTAATTTTAATTATATTTAACCTTATAAAATATAAATTAATGTTAATTTTAATTAAATTTAACTTAATAAAATATAAATTAAATTTTTATTTTTATTTTTTGCGGGTAACGGATATCTGCGGGTACGGATAGTATAATACCCGCACCCAACCCGTTTATAAGCGGGTATTAAAAAACCCGCTACCTACGGATAGTAAATATCCGCGGGTACCAACTATCCGTCGCGGATTTTATCCGCGGATATTCGCGGGCGCAGATCTTTTTGTCATCCCTAAGTTGTTGTTAGATTTAGTTGAATTTATAATTTTTCTAACATTTTTCTTTAATTTTTCAAATCAATTTTATATCTTTTGAAATGTTAATGTTTATGCACTGTTGTTGTTATTTTTGTAGAGGAATACTTATTTATGGTTTGATTGTGTTTAAACTTAAATTGAGGTTAAATTAATACAGAACATATCATCTCCAAAAAAGAGAAATACAAAATTGGATCCTATAAAACAACTTGACTCAAAATATAGTACCAAGGGTTTAATATAATAATTTATAGTCAAAGAGAAGAAAAACGAATTGTGAAATGTATACAGCACTTAAAATTCACCATAATATAATTTAATTTGATTCATGGTTTACAGATTAATTTCT